GATTATTTCGGGTCTTAATGGCTGGGACAAACAAGCGGCCTCCTCCAACATCTGTCTGTCTGTCTGTCTGTCTGTCTGTCTTCTGTCTGTCTCTCTCTGTGTCTATTTCTGTCTCTTTTTCATACACACACACACACACACACACACACACAGAGTCAAAACTTAGATCTAAGTTTTCATAATTATCATCAAATACTTAGCTCACCAAAATTCTAAGAAATAATAATTAAACAACTATCAACAAATAGAAGTTATAGGTAATCCTTTTTATATATAATATTACGAAGAAGTCAATGCTTTATTCCTAGATAGGAACATTAACTGAATCTTTCTACTTATATTCTTTTGGAAATCAATTTTATAAATTAAGAACTTTGTAAATATTCAAACTCCAAAATGGAAATACTTCTTCTAGTTATAGGTATCAAAGAAATCAGCAAATGTATTTTTTGAAAATATTAAAAACATGGTTTGAAACAAAATTAAGGAATAGGGAAATCTTTACATTGTGGTATTAAGGATAGACAACACTGAGAATTAAAGTCCTGTTATATAGATTGAAGCTTTATTCTAAACATGTAGAAAATGGAAACAGTTATTAACTGTAGGGGCTACAGACATTACTAGTCTCTTAAGAGCATTGCCAATTTGAAAATATGCTACAGTAGATGAGAATCAAACAAATAATTAGGGTTATCTTCAACCCCAAAGTGTGTGTGTGTGTGTGTGTGTGTGTGTGTGTGTGTGTATGTCTGCGTGTGTGTGTGTGTGTGTGTGTGTGTGTGTGAGAGAGAGAGAGAGAGAGAGAGAGAGAGATGCCATATGAGTGCAGGTGCACACAGAAAGCAAGAAAGAGGTGTCAGATTCTGTAGAAAAGAAACTGCAAGTTCTTGTGATCTGCCTGAAATACGGTATTGGGAACTGAATCTGGGTCCTCTGCAAAAACAGCATGTGTAACACACAATCATAATTAGTCTCATTAAATAAAAAACTGGAGTCAGATATTAGGGGGTGTAACCTGAAAGATCAGAGAAGCTGAGCAGCCAACTGCTAGAGTTCTTATCTCTCTGATCGCTCAGACTGAATAGGCAGAATCTTGTCTCTGTGACTTCTCAGACTGAATGTCCATACTGAATGCCTCGGAGCTCCTGTCTCCTCCCGCTTTATATTACTCTCTGCCCAACCATATCACTCCTGTCTCTGTCTGCCTAGTGCTGGGATTAAAAGCCTGGGGTCACAAGTGCTGGGATCAAAGGTGTGAGCTGTTTCTTTTTTAGACTGATTCAATCTCATTTAGGCCCGGGTGGCCTTGAACTCAAGAGATCTGTCTGCCTTTTTCTCCCCAGAGCTGGGATTAAAGATGTGTACCACCACTTCCTGGCCTCTATGGCTAAGTAGCGTGTCTAGCTCTACATGCTAATCTGCAGGCAAGCTTTATTTGTTATAGTGCAAACAAAATATTACCACAGCATGTATTCTTATGTGCTGAGCTGTTGCTCCAGACTCCCTAAGTCAATAAGGTTTGATGTATTACTTTTGTGTATTCAGTAGGAAAAATAATTTTCTTTGCAATTTCCTTTTTGAATCAAGAGTTATTTTGAACTATGTTGCTTAATTCTCAAGTGTTTATTGATTTCCCAGGTTTCTTTCTTTTATTTAAGATTTAGTTCTTTTGCAGTTGGAGAACATACTTTATATGCCAATCTTTAAATTAATGGAGGCTTGTGTGACTTAACCATTTTTTTCTAAAGATAATTCCATGTGTGCTTTGAGGAACTCATTCCAAGAATGAGTTAGTTGATAGTTATGCCAATATTCCATAGATAAGCATTTTCTCAGTGTTTTCTTCAGATGTTACTGAAGATGGTGTATTAATACCATATTTTAAAAATTTTTTAAAAATTAATGTTCATTATGGTTAACCATCTGTTATATTTTTCTGATGTAATAATATCATAATTAAAGGTTTCTGTTTTAAATCATATTTTGATATAAATTCTGTATTATCTCACTATGACTATTCTTCTTTATATTACTATTTTTATGATAATTTCCCTTCGTATTTCTTTTTAGGTGTGTTTTGAATCTAAGGCATTTATCTTGTAGACATTATGTAATTGTATGTTGCTCTTGTGATTTCTTTTCCGTTTTGTGTGGTTCTGGGGATCAAACTCAAGGACTTATGTATGCATGTTAGCTGAGCACTTTACCATCAAGCTACAGTCCAGCCTCTGGCTTCCTTTTGTACTGGGTTCACTCGCCCCCTTTCTCTCTCTTCCTCTCTCTTTCTCTCTCTCTTCCTTTACACCCCCCCTCACACACACAGGCACACACAGGCACACACAGGGACACACAGGCGCGCGCGCACACACACACACACACACACACACACACACACACAGTAGTCAAGTTGTTAAGACAGGTGTTCTCTGTTTAGCCCTGGATACCTTGGAAATTGCTCTCTAGACCAGGCTGAGTTCAAATTCAGAGATATGCCTGGCTCTGCCTCCCAAGTGCAGGGATTAAAGGTGTGTGTTGCCACCATTACTCTGCAAGGGCTGTCTCTTTACCTGTAGTAATGTCATTGTTAAAATGGACCGTTTTAATTCTTTGTCAATCTGTTTTCTGATAGTAGTCAGCCTGTGGAATAAAACATTCCCTTCAACTTGTCACTACTCATTTCAGGTGGGTACCAACAATTCTAGCTCCTCTCTTTTTTTTTTTTTTAGCCTGACTTCATGGTTTTGCATCTATTACATGACTTTCCTAACTAAAGTTCACCTTCGAATCATGGCTCTAATTGTTTTGTAGAATATTAAGATTTTCTATATGCTAAAAAAAGATTTTTCTTCTGTTCTTTATTTATTCTTGTGGACTTAGCAGATTTCAAATAGGCAACATTTTCTTTGAACTGTGAATCTGTAATGATGTCTCCTCCAGTGCTGGATCTCTTTTTGTAGAACACATTAACAGTTCAAACTTTCCTACAGTCTCCCTGAGTTTTACTTCTATGTGATCAATTCCAATTTCCACATGTATTTTTAGAGCATCGTGATTGGCCAGAAGTGCATGGAGTGACTTGGAATGTTGGCTCTGTTGTTCATAGCCTTGTGAAGGATGTTGTTCATTCTATAATTACCCAAACTAGGGGCCAATCAAGCAGAACCAGATATCTAACCAATAAAGCACAGGGAACCATAGATGGTCACAGATTATGACAATCTCATGCTAGAATGTTACATGGTTTCAACATTTAAACCTATATCTCAGCAGGTATGCTCAAGTCTTCATGTCCTAATGAATATTTTCCAGAGGATGGAATTTCAGATGCTCTTTTATTCTTGTCATTTATTTCCCTTCTAGGAAAGGATTTACTGTTTCCCCCCACTTAACTGTACCCAGAAGCTTCATTAAGGGACAAGGGAATAATGTTGATGCAAAAAAATCACAAAAAATGAAATATAGTTTTTCTCATGTTCCTGCCTGAAGTATTTCTGTCAAAATGTAGCCAAATTCTGACTGATGTCTAGTCACTAATATATAAGCTAACCAAGGGAAATATTGATTTCCTATTATAGAGTAAAGAAAGTAGATGGGCAAAGTAAAAGTGGGGCACTATATTAAAACATCATTTTCACCCTTCAGTTCTGTCACACAGCATTTAGAAAAGGATACATTTGGGCGATTTAGGACTAGCTTAATATTGAAAAAAAATTAGTCTTGGTTGGAGTGAGGGCCAGATTAGTTTAATGCTCTCATTCAATTTAATGCTATCAGAATTTATATATCGTTTCAGTGACTGGTCGTGGGTAATATGTAGGAAGCTTTTCTCTTGATAAATGACCTACCTTGCCTTTTCAATGGATTTAAACTTTGAGAGAGATCTGGTACTAATTTGTTTATCTACCTGTTAGGAACATCTTGAGAATTAATATTTAGTTTATAATTTAGTTCTTCAGTAAGCCTCTTGGACGATGTATAATTCTGCTGATAATGTATGACATGGAAAACATCTGAATTTTGAGAAGTAGGCCAAAATTATTATTTTTTTTTGAAAATCAAGCTATGAGTGTGTTGAGATGTTAATTAGGCTTTTGTTTATTTTTTGTTAATAGTTGATAGTATTTAAAACTAGCTTTCAAAGAACACACAATAGCACTGGTAAAATTTCATAGAAATGTACATTTGAAATTATGCAACAAAACTGAGAAGTTTGAATTCATAGTAAAGAAGGATGAAATTCACACGTGAACCAAGGAGACTGTTTCGTAAAGGGGTCTAAATACCAATACTGATCCTGTGAGACTTCTGACAGGGTTCCATAGTGATAATCCTGCTGGAAGTGGAAATATCAAAAATCAGAAATGTATTTACAGTGTAGTTCTACTTCCCATCCCCTTCGGTTGCAAGGTTGCCTGGGTGTTTTCTCCACCTGCTGCTGTTAGGCATCCTGGAAGAGTGTGGCCCAGGAAAAGACCACAGTTCAGAGTGTAAGATAAGATTTCCATTGGCTATGCATTTTTTGTACCAGTATAAAATATAAAAAGTCAGTTGAAACACTGTAGTTTGAAGAAGATCTGTATTGTAAAGGCTATGAAGATTGAAGCAAGAGCCCTTCAGGTCTGGCTATTAGAAAACATCTGATAAAGCTGTAATTAATTGTTTTATCTGGCTTAAACCACCTGTGTGAGAGACTGTGCCCTCACGCTAGTTTAGAAAGCAGAAGGGAAACAAGAACATTTTCCAAGTGAAAGGCTAGTGCTGCTTTATGGATGTATGGCTTCTCTGTTTGTCATTATAAATAAGGAACAATTCACATAACCTCAGTACAGCAACATGCCAATCTTTGTTATATCTAACAGCTTGTGCAGTCTTTCCCAGTGGTCTGCCTATTAGAAGAATAAGGCTGACAATATTTCTTTCTGTTGCTTGGTATTAGTTGTCCATTGCTTCTGCAAACATACAGACTTTAAATAACACAAATTAATGCTCTGTTTCAGCTCTAACGAGAACAAGGATTGAAAGTTGTTACTTCAATTGCAACAACAGGAAAAAATGCTGGATAAAGTAGAAGTAAACTTCCCTTCGTTCTGTCAGAGAACTGATATGTACAGCCAATGGCCAGCTGACAGTTTGGAGTGACAGGTAAATCCACAAGGTTGCAGTTAGTATATGCTTATGGCTAGAATAGAGGCGACTATAGCTGTACATTTTCATGAGTCCTTACGTCATAATTTTGATGAATGACTAAAGGCTGAGTGTAGAGTGTGAGGGTGAAATGTGTGCTTTAGAATGATGTTTACTTTTTTTTTGTCTTATCTTCATAGAGCCCTCCAAATTCTTATGGTCATGACTTAAGACGGATCCTTGAGACTTTGCCTATGGGGGAAGGAAAGAAATCTTGTGAAGTGTAAGCAGAGCCTTACCCAGGACAGAGACATAATCTCCAATATGAACCCTTTACAAGAGATGTGTTCTGAGACTGTGTGTGGGGAAAGATAGCCCATCCCATCCCTTCTGCTCTTCCTTTGGCATTTAAGAGAGAAAAAGGCAGAAACAGTTATGCATGCCATTGCCCAGGAACAATGGTTCATAAAACTGTGTACTTTATTTGAAAATTATAGAATACCCTTTCAACACCTTAACAAGGCTCTGACAGTGGGCCTTCAGCATGGATTGTTTCCTAAACAAATGAGAGATTTAGGGGCTGTATGTGAGGAGAAGTACTTTAGGGAGACACAAATTCTGGAGGGGAAATTAGAACCCCAGATCTCTGGGCTGTATAGAGCTGGCAAATATTAGCTCATTTATTAGGGAAATTAACATAAATCTTCCCATGGGAGGCCCATTTACCTCAGTTTCTATTGACCTGTACCAAATGTCTGCCCTTCAACAAACGATCACCAGGGATACACAAGAGAAGAAAAGGTCAGATGAGATAAAGGGAACATTACAATTAGATACAGATATGATACTAATATGAAAATTGAGTGAAATTTTAAAAATAAATCATTATGTTAAGGGAATAAAATTAAAAGTAGAAAATGTAAGAATATATAATGTGATCAGAAATGGAAATTCTATAAAAAAGGGGCATGTTGAGAATAAAGATAAACTCTTTGAAGAGTTTATGGGAAGACAAGAGTGCAGCTGACTGACAAAGCAGTGATAGCTCTACACTAAGTTCCCAAACTTGTCAAGGGAACAAGTTCAAAAACAGAGCAAGCAGAAGAGCAATGAAAAGTCTTGGAAAATGCCCTGTAACATGTACAATTAGCTTAATAAACAGAGCAGAAAGGCAAAAAGGAAACGTTTGAAGAAATGTTGTAAGTCTTTTCTAAAATCGGCAAGAGGCTCCAATTCACTCATCCAAAAAGTTCCCGAACACCCAGAAAAATGTGTACTAAAACCCAACCAATCTAACAAGAAACCAAAAATGATACCTAAGAACAGCATAACAAACTACAGAAAATCATAGGCAAGGAGAAGTTACTGCAGTCAGTGGGAGAAAATAATAACAAAATAAATCCAGCTCATTATAAGAGAGACAAGGATGAGACCATCAAAGCCCACTCTTCAGAACCCCTGCAAGCAAGTCTTTCAGACTTTCTTTGCTGTGACAAAAGACAAACAACTTAAGGGAGGGTGGCTTTATTTTGGGACAGTTTTAGATATTTCAGTTCATTGTAATGGGAAGAATGGGACAGAAAAGAGCAGTTCATAGCTGGGAAGGAGAGAGACGGAGAGAGGAGAAAGCTGTACACAAAAGACAGTGTGCCTATGCTAAGAGATTTTTCTCCCCGAATTTAGCCCCCTCCCACATTCATGGCAGCTCTGCCTTTACTTAATCTCTCCTGGGTTGCCCTCACTGGTATACACAAAGGTGTATTTCTAATCTCCTAGGCTATTATCAGTGTGATCAAGTATGCAGTCAAGATTAAGAATCACACTAGGGAAGCAGAAAGTTAAAAAAAATTGTTGTTGAAAGGAGAAAAATATTGCCAATCTCAGATTCGATTGTAATGGAAATTTCCTTTCAAAGTGAGAGAAAAAATAATTTTAGCCCAGATCTGTGGGAATTTACTTTCACCAGAAATGCCGGAAGATGCTGAAAGCCATGTCTGAGAGAGTGCTTCAGTAAAATGGAATCTTAGAAGCTGGGGTCTTCATGAAGAAGGAGCATCAGGAAAAGGCACAAATAGTTGTGAAATAAAAATCCTCTTTCTCTTTTATACTTTCAATAAATTTTATTTATTATTTTAATGTATTTATTAATATACATAATAATACTTATTAATATATTTTTATATTGTATGATTTTTGCAGGTTAGTATAAATTTTATGAGAATTTCGTAAGTGTATATAATGGATTTTGATCATATCCACCTCCTACTTCTCCCTCACTCTCTTCAGATCTCTCCTATGTTCTTGTATCAACTTCATCGCCTCTATTTTTGTCTTTTGTTATAAGCTACTTAGTCAAAATAGTGCTGTGCATAGTCTCATGGGAGTGGAGCCATCCACTGGGGCATGGTCAACCTACCGTGAACACTCCCCTAAAGAAAATGACTCTTCCTTCCCTAGCAGCCATCAACTGCCAATAGTTCTTCCCTTTTCTTAAACAAATTAAAGTAACAATAGTGACAGTGTACCAGGCAATTATTCCATATGGATCAATGAAATATCTTATGGAATTGGAAAGAGGTGATAAAACGCTAATTAGATTAGTGCTGCAATATTCAGGGGGCAGAGGAGTGTTGTTTGACAGTCAACATGCATTACTAAAAACTTGTAGTACAAACTTAGTGGCAACCATGAAAACAATTTTTACAGTGGAAATATGAGCCAAGAGAGAAAGGCCATCCTTGTTTCTTTAATAGGTGGACTTTGCGATAAGCAGCTCAGCACATGCCAATCTTGCTGCATTACTGCCACCCAGGAAGGCGAACTGTGAAAGGATGGAGAAGATACCTTATGCAACACTCATTAGAGTCCAGCCGCACACTCACTGAAAGGATGGAGAAGATACCTTATGCGATGCTCATTAGAGTCCAGCCGCACACTCACTGAAAGGATGGAGAAGATACCTTATGCGATGCTCATTAGAGTCCAGCCGCACACTCACTGAAAGGATGGAGAAGATACCTTATGCAACACTCATTAGAGTTCAGGAACACACTCACTGAAAGGATGGAGAAGATACCTTATGCAACACTCATTAGAGTTCAGGAACACACTCACTGAAAGGATGGAGAAGATACCTTATGTGACGCTCATTAGAGTCCAGCCGCACACTCACTGAAAGGATGGAGAAGATACCTTATGCGATGCTCATTAGAGTCCAGCCGCACACTCACTCACAGAAGGGAGAGCTCCTCACGGGCATCCCATTTCTCTCTATTATATTCATGCTTGAGGAGCATTTGGTATGGAACGTGGTAACATAAGGTTAATAGTGAAGAGCCTAATGTACTTCAATCATTTAACTATGTTTCCTTTCTTTAATCCCTTTTCAATTTCTCTCATCTCCTTCCTCCCTCCATCCCTCCTCTCTCTTTCATTTTTTCTCTCTTTCTTCCTTTCTTTTTTTGACTCCTATGCCTCTCTTTCATAGAGAAGCCAGGAGAAGACACTGACTTTGAATCAACGGGATGTATTTTCATTCATATTAGACTCATCTGTCTTTAGATCTTTGCTTCCATCTCTTTTCTATGCTTTGGATTGTTGGAACCTCTTTTTCCTTTTCACAGGACATGCACCCCACTTTCCTTTGAACTCTCTAATTCTTGCTTCATCAGTCTGCCAACGTGACTGTTTTCTGTAGAAACATCCCCCTACTGTCTGAGTATTTTTCCACTTGTCACTTTTATTTAAGTTTTAAAATGTCTTGAACATGCTTATTTCATTTTTTTTTGCTGCCTTTATACTCCTTAACCTAGAACAACTTCTGTATTAAGATTGAACCTTGTTTCTTAATTCTAGCTCTATTATTGGTTCTTGCACTAATAATCCAGTTTCCTATTATTATCTCTTGCCTGGTATTTCACAATACTATCCTAAGTATTTTTCCATTTTTTATTTCAAAGTACTCTCCTGTAGCTTTATCCTGTCTCCTGGTTTCCTGAAACAATATAGGATCCTACTAATTAGGTGTTGGAAGTAACTCATGGATTGTGAAATATTTGTGATTAAAAAACAACTGCCAAAATTTCATAATTACAAAATTGTAGGCATGATATGTTTCTTTTCTTCTTCGGTGATCATTAGACACCATGGTTGCCCTAATAAGCAAGATTTTATATTGGTATATATTAAATTTTTATCCTTCTAGCTCTAAAATTAGCTAATGATATCAGCTCAGGTAACTTAAATTTTCAAATCCTTAGTCTTTAATCAGTAAAGTAAAATATTTAACTTATTTGATCTTAAAAAGGTTTTTGCCACTCTTAAAAATACAATTATATTTTACTGGACAAAAAAAACCTTTTCTATTGAAACTGGCTGTTAATATATCTTTTTGTCCGAATCAATGATAGGCCTATAGATGGTTCTGGTTAGTTTTTGTGAACTTGACATGAATGAGACATACTTGGAAAGAGTGAGTCATAACCTCAGAACTGCCTTCCTCAGACTGGCCTGTCTGTGGGAACATTTTCTTGGTTTCTGATTGATTTGGATGTCCTACCTAGACTATTACTGGGAACAGTGCCATTCCTAGCTAGTAGGATTGAACTGTATAAGAGAGGCAGCTGAACAAGCCAAGGGGAGCAAGTCAGTTATCAGTGTTCCCTGGTGATAGCTGCTTCAGTTTCCAGCTCCAGGTTTCTGCCTTCATTTTTTTCAATGATAGACTATAGTCTTTGAACCAAATAACAATTTGCTCGTACAATTTGAGTATGGTCAGTATTTATCACACCAACCAAAAGCAGATTCAGGACAAAGGTTGAAAGTTAACTATATAAGCACAAAACCCATAACAATGAATCATTAGTCATTCACTGATGTATACAATTTTCTACCAAAATTATAGCCACCACT